TGTGCTGGGTCTCCAGGCCCACGCGTGGGAATGAGTTCTGTTGTCTCCTGGTGAAGCTCTGTGTAGTTTCTGTGGACAGCAAACTTGTGCCAGTTGATGCTTCCTCTTGTGGATTTTAAGTCCGGGTCCCTGCTACATCAGAGGTTGGTCCTTGCTCCCTCCAAATTGTCGAGGTGCTGGCAAGCCATGGTAGCTGCCGTGGGCCTGTGCCGAGGGTCCGAATGGCAGCGGCACTCTTGGTGCTGAGCTCTCTGAGGATGTCTCATGTTGGCGGGACACTGGGCCCCCCCCCTGGCTGGCTGCCACATTTCTGTGGAGGCTGTTTGGTTTCCTGATGCAGAGCCTGTAGCAGGCTGTGAGCCGGCACGGTCACTTGCTGCCGGTCGGGGATCCCTGGTGCGAGGCTTCCTGGAGATGGTGCTCCTGTCCCCACCTCCCTGCAGAGGGTGTCCTGTGGGACGGGATTCCATGTTGGAGGTGGCTGAGCAGGCTGCTTGCAAGGCTCGTGGGAGGAATCCCAGGCGTTTGATTCACCTTCAGTTGTTCAGGTTTTTGTTGATGCATAAATTTTATCAGCTGCAGCGTTAATCTTTTTCGTGTCTCCAGGTTTTGAGTGGTGTGTTATAGACTAAGCCATGAGGCACATTCAGCCCATGTGTTGTGTTTTATACTAGGTCCGCGTCACAAAGGTCACCTCTGTGTGTCTGTGAATTGGCTGAGAAACAGGTGTCGCAGTGCTCAGCACGTGTGTTTGCATGAGTGATGCAGGCAGGGAAGGAAGCATTGCATCTGGTCGATCACCCCTTTAGTGCACACATAGACAACCCTAAACCCATTGCCATCAGCCAACTCCTGCTCCCAGCCACCCTGCTGTGCTAATGTCCTGTCCTAGTAGCCGGCTGCTGGCTCGTTGGCTGTCAGGTTATCTTGTCCTGTGAACACTTACTTTCCTTAAATCTTACGCACAGGCGGACTGTCTGCCTTGTAAAGACTTCGGGGAAGGTTTCTGTGAATTCTGGGTAGGCCTTTCCTTTGTGGCTGTTAAGACTGCTGGCAGCTGATGACTCTCTCCCCACTTA